CCTCCTAGAGCTTTGGACCATGTTGATGTCAGACATCCCCAACTCCTTGTTCATTCCTTCTTAGGGATGATATTAAGGAGTGGGATATACTCTTCTTACGAAAAAAATTCTTGTAGCATTCCTGATCCTAGATAGGATCGTCGGGACAGACCATGGAGATGAGAAAACGGGCAAGCCAGTCAAAAGACACAAAGGCAAGAATATCATGGTCTGAAAATGGGTTAAGTCCGAGTTATGATCCGGACTCAGCCAAGAAAACGAAGGAAAAGAGAGAAAAGAAGCTGAACCGAGTTAAAGGAGGAGTGATACAAGCTGGACGAAGCTTGGGGAAACTAGACGGAGCTCGGGGAAGCTTGACAGAGCTTGGGACATCTGGACGGATCTCATGGCAGCTGGACAGAGCTCACACCGAGTTCAGTCAGCTAAAACCAGCTCAGTCAGCTAGTACTCCGAGCTCATCTAGCTGGGGCGAGTGTCGGGGAGCTCAACTCAGCTGGGCGGACTGTCCTACTGTTGAGCTGGCTAGTCGGGGTTTCGGTTGCTTGATTAAGGGGCGCTTGTGTGGTAATCACCCAAGCGGTTGCCAAATCGCACATTTTCGCCCCAAAACGGTTTCAGGCCGAGTTTTATATAAAACCAGGGCGTGGGGATCATTTTTACACACGAAATTTCCCTAAGGAAAATACAGAAACTCGATCAGAAAGAGAGAAACAATCCGTGAGAAAACATTGGCGATATAAGAAGAACACTTGATTGAGCCAAGAAGGCAATCTGACCGTTCTGTCTTGAAGATCGATCCAAACATGGATCCTAAGGAGAAAGAGATACGCGTTGCAAATCACACACCGGAGAGCACATCTAAGGTGAGCGGATGGGCCAGTTATGTCATCACCATGACCCGCGGGTGAATCTGTCGGTCTATGGGCGGTTGGTGAAACAGTTACTTCTTTATATATATATATATATATATATATATATATATATATATATATATATATATATATACTTGATCCTTTCTTCTGCATAAACGATTGAATATCTTGGTCTTAGGACCGAGTAATGGATCATGGCTGTAAGCCAATATGATCATGTGATCCGGGACTTAAGTAGTGGATCCGATAGATCATGGATCATATTCGTTTGGCTTGATCGGGTTTTGGCCGATCCGATTAGTATGGTTATAAGACGGTTGATATAGAACCGGGGGATGAACTTGATCGATCTTGTTAAATGACTTAAGATGTCCCGATTTACTAAGGGATATTACGGGCTTAACTTAGAAGGAATTTTGTTATATGTTGCATTCTTTATGAACTGACTCATTAAGTTATTGGATAGATACTTATGTTTGTGTTGGTTTCAGGATCTGATGGTGATTGCGGAAAGGATTTGGCTTAGCCGTGAAGATTCGAAGCCAAAGATGGATGGGTGGTTAGATAGACTGATTGAGATCGTTGTACATTATAATAGCTTATATGGCAAACTCTCATTGTAAACGAATCATGTTGTGATATAAATAAAAACCATTTTATCCTATTGCATACTGACTCTATATATCCGCATATAGACTCTATCATATGAATCTCAGAATTGATTGAATTGAATGTTAAAGAATAAAAAGACATTAAAACTGGACTAGATGGCCTGATTGGTTGAATCTTAGGAACCTCACTGGACTTAAGATCTAGGTTATGACGCTTTTTTCCACTCTGAGAGATCCTTTTGATCATTTGGCTGAGACCTTCCTGCTCGGTATCCTTAGATGGATATGTTTGGAATTACTCAAATTTAAGATATTATTCCGTTTAATTGGGATATGAGCTCTTTAAGAGAAATTGTTTGTTGCAAACGAAAAAAAGAGAAATAGAGAAAAATTGGCAAATTGGAGACTGGGATATGCTAAGTGTCTAATTAAAAAAAAATAAACTCTTACTAATTTTTAGTTTGTCGACGCCCATCTATTTAGATCAAATGGTAGTCGGTCTTGAGTCGTCCCGAAGAGACGCTATGTCCGGCTGGGTCTGATATATATGGGAAAAGAGAACTCCGCTGCATCTCGCCTCTTTGGCGAGAGAATCTGTCCGCATATTGCTAGTCCTGGATACGCGGTCGATGCTAAAGACTGAGAATCCAGCTTTGAAACAATGAAATGAGACTTAGTAAACTCTTACTAATTATTTATTTGGGGGTGTTATTGGATAGTGGATTTAAAATAAATTCTCTAAGTTTTACAGTCTAGTGTTATTAGAGATTGATTTTAATTTTAGTATTAAAATCTAATGTTATTACTTTTTTATCAACCTAGTGTTATTACTGTGTATAAAAATCACTAGGTGTTTTCTGCACTATGTGCATCAATAAAAATTTTAAATTTAAATTATATTTATAAATAAAATTTTATTAATATATTTTATTATTTTATACCACTATTTTAAAATAAATATTGATTTAGTTAAACACTAAATTAAGATAAGATAAACAGTTTGATTTATTTAAATTATGTTTAAGAATAGATATATATATATATATATATTATAATTATAATCTTAGATTGATTTTTGTTTATTTTGGTTAACATATATTAAATCAACTTGTATAAATTTATTTTAAAAATTGGTATAAAATTTTATAATTATTAAAAAACTAAAGAGATTTTCTAAAATTTGTAGATATCAAAAAGAAAAAAAATGATAGTATGAATTAAAAATTTTCAAAAGATTATATAAAATCTTGACAATCTTGTTTAGTAATACAAATTGTATGGTTTTAAAAATACACTGAAATAATATTTTCGATTTTCTAAAATATTTTTATATTTAATATCATATTTAAATTTATCTAATATAATAATGATATATGAGTTATTATTATATTCTAAAAAAATTACCAAAATAGAAATCAGTATTAATTATAATTGTTTTGTCTCATTTAGGCATAAGCTATGTTATCCATTCACATTTATATATATCATCTTTTCTAGTCGATTTAATTGTAGGAATGGTATTTTTTAAATCACTTTGCAAATAACATTTAGGAAATTATTAAGATATTTTAAATAATACTGTTATTGTTGGTTCTTCAATTTTAATCTTTTCACTAAGAGAATTTGAAATCAATTGCTATTCAGTTAATGATTTGAATACAATAATTTCGAATCTTGTGTAATTAATGTTTGATAGAATTTTACAATCCATCTGACTTGAAATATTTTGAATGATTTGAATTTACTTTTGTGGGTAATCATGTAATAAAATTTGTAGTAAAAGTTTGTTAAATAGGTAACAAAATCATTTTTAATAATAGATTTGAAATTAAGTTTATGTGTAATCATTTAATAAAATTTTAGAAATATACTTTGTTAAAAAAGGTAATCAATTTTTAATGGGCCAAATCTTAATTTGCCATTATCACCTAAAACGAAAAAGGGAAATAAAACATGAAGAAAACAAAATAAATCAAGGAAGCGGTACCGAACTGATTACATGTATACATCACAAACCACTAGGACAAAGTGACTCTCAATAGTAGCCTTTGCTCCAAAATATATATATTCTCTAACGCCTAAATCCTTTGCTTTATGAGCTTTAGCCCAGAGCCAGCCCAGGCAGCCCTGCACACTATAGTTCAGAGTTCAGACGATCCCCTCATATCTCTCAGCTAATTCTCTTTGTGGTGCCATCTTTGTTTGATAACGGTATTACTTGAGAAAATTTCAAGACTTGTCAACTAACTTTAAAGACTAACTTTTAGAAAAAACTAACTTACTAGAGTTTTTGTTTCTGCCCTCATTCATTACTTGGAGAACGTACTTACACAGTTTATTGAAAAACGTTTGTAAATTCTAACAAGCCTCCTGCAAATAGGAATGCACTTAGTTTATCACCGTCTGTAGCCAAAATCATCTTTTACACCATATGTGATGTTCCCGAAGACACAAAAGAAAAATCTCTCTTATGAAAAAAAAAAAATCACGTAGCATACTTATCAAATAATCTAACTCATATCATCTGAAATGAAATGGCAAATTGGTTCACTTTTTAAATCTCCAAGCAAAGCAAGGCAACAGTTGCTATATCAAATTTTGAATTTGTTGCTATTTTTCAATTTATTCAAAAATTGATAGTATACAATTGGTGGTTAATTTTTACAACTGAAAAAGGTCAACAGTATAATAAAGAATAAATATACATCTCTAGCCTATAGTAAGTCTGTTGATAAAGTATTGGAAGCATATTTTTTAAAAGTGAGGAAGAAATTGAAGGGCCCAAGAAAATATAATGAAAATTTGTGAAATCATAATGTTCTGTCCATTATACCATCATAATCTGTAGAGTGGAGAGAAGGTAAAAGCAAGAGCAAAATACTTCATGCACCTTTTGCATCAAACTTTAGGTACCTCAAAAGGGTAAAAGCAGAAAGCAGAACACATATTGTAATAAGAAACACAGTTTCAGTTTTATTTGAGCTTCATCAGACTAAGTTTGATCCACAAATGTGTATGAACTCAAATATAAGATGTGTACAATTAGGAGTGGATTAAGACATCCATCACAACTAAGTGAAACCACATAGCTTCTATTGTATTTTGAAATCCACAAATGTGAATGAAAAAGATTTTGGACAAATATTAGAATTAGGAATAGGTTAAAAGACATCCATCACATTCACAGGTTAGCCAAAACACCAAGTACTTTGGTTATAAGGCTGTTAACTAAAGTACTGTAAGTTTGTAACTACCAATATAGCTTTTTTCTCACAACCTCGCATTGTGTTAATAAAGAGTGAATTTCATTGAAAGTAGAGCCTCTGTTTTTTTAATAATAAGCTAATAATATACATAAGAGTTACTAATCAAAGTAACACAAAGGTACAAAATACATGTGAGCTTGTGTACTGTTAAAGGCTTAAAGCTGTTGTTGGTGGACCGATTCTTTTTACCGACCTTGATATACGTGAAACTGGTTTGAACACTTAAACCGGTAAAATGCAAAAGTTTTTAGCTAGGAATATTTAGACTACTAAACTAAAATCTACACTCCAAAAACAAGATTAATTCATTATATCAGACTCCATAGGATTAAAAGTAACTAAAATCAACACAAATGAGATTCAATACAGAAAATAAAATCGCCAAAATCCCAAAAGATAAATAAAACCAGAAAAGGAAGAAGCAAATGTACATTGAACAGCCAAACCGGTTTCCAGACTGACTTTTATTTTAGTTAGTCATAGCGAGCCTAAAAGTCCTGGACCGGTCCGCTCGTAACCTCTATATGAATCCAGCTTAACCAAGCCGGTTTAACTCCGGTACGGTCACTAATTGTGTTACATTGAACAGCCACCAGTAGTAACCGGTAAGGTGTTGGTAATGGGCATTGATGCCTTGATCCCATCCAAAACAGTCTTAGAGTTTCCTCCACATTTCATTGCCTGCTCCAAAAGATTCACTAGCTGCATGAATATCTCCATCCTTGTCACATCTCGACTCGCCTAAAACCCAAAAAAAAAAGAAAAAAAATCTTGAATCTCTCAACTTTTATCATTTAAAACGAACTTATTAACTTGTAATATTACCTCAACAGTGAAGCGACCCCAAATTTTGTCTACTCGAGTTTCAATGACACCCTTCAAGATGGTCAGTCCTAAGCTTCTGATCCAATCAGCGATTTCAAGAAAGAATCCTCGTTGTTCACATCGCATCTGCCACAACAAGACAAAACTTCAAAACACTAAAACTTTACGTAGCAAATGAAAGATTATCATCAACATGTAGTAAAGTTACCTCAACTTGGAAGATGCGAGGAGGGTTTATATCTTCAACTACAATGGGACACATGAGAGACTTTGACCCTACTTCGAAAGCCCATGTTGCCCCTCCATCCTCTTTCATGATCTTTATAATTATAGCAAAGATATGTCAGAACAAAGAATCAAAAGAGTGATATGGTTTTGTCTTGGTTTACCTTAGGCTCCCCGGTTTGCTTCACCTTATCAGCATGCTTGGAGACGTTTTGTAAGAAGAGCATGTGTTTGATTGTACGTTCGAGGAGCGCATCTATGCTACACTGTAAAACATTTTGCTATTTTGTTAGTAAATGATCTTTCTTAAGGAATTGTTTTGAACTAAAAACCGCTTTTTACTTACTTTTGCACCGTTTGGTATGATTTCACGCAACTCCTTGACACGATCTTGAATCATTTGGCGATCTTTTGGCCTAGGTCTTGGGTTCTCTCCTGGTTTAAGCCTTTTACGGTTAGTTTTTGCAGTTTCATTCTTATTCGTCACCACCTTTGGAGTGCCCTCACGCTTTAAGCTGTGAGCTTGTTCAACCCAAGAACTGATCTGAGACCCGTAAACCACCGACGATGGCCCCACATGTGTCCCCTGAGGGCTATTGTGGACGGAAGAGTTGCTAACTTTGGTCATTGTGGTTTTGCAGGACTCAGAAGTAGTGTCATCTGAGATCTGCTTTGTGGAGGAACAAGCACCTGAGACCACAGCATCTAAGAGATGATCTGTTCCTGAATGTTCATACCCTGAAGAACCCATTTCTTGAATGATCCTAAAGTCTGATAACTCCCTAGTGAGCAGGTCTGTTCTCATCCCCCAACCTCTGTTCCTATCATCCAGACCCAACATATCAAACAAGTCATCACTTCGTTTGGAGCTTGAGTCTTCACATGGGACTTGTTTCTCTACTTCATCAACATTAGACATACATGAGAAGTTCTGATTCAGCCAAGCATCAGGGTTCGAAGGTGGTACAGGTACGACTTCGTGTGATGTTAGAAAACTTGTTGTGTTTTGCCATCCTCCAAGATTACAGGAAGCTTCTTGAAACGTTTGATCATTTTGATGATCTGATGATGAACCAGTAGAGTTAAAATGTGGTTGGCTAGTTTCAGCTACAAAAGCTGAAGATTGGAGGATCTTGTGTCCCTGAGACCCGGACACGGGGACTCCAATAAAATCAGCAGCAGGAGGTTCATACGTTGTGTAACTTTCAGATAAGAGAGCCCCGGGGACACATCCAAGTTGCAGGATAAGACCCTTCACGTCATTCACAAACCCCAAGTTCTCCATAATCTGAACATTAACAAACATTGAGCCAAGAATTAAAAACTAATAACATTATAAAACAAAGCAAATGTGAAACTTACAGGCAGAGAAGAACCAAGCTGAACAACACCATGAGGAACAACTGGAAAAACTGCGACGGTCTGAAACAAACAAGCAAATCATTTTAAAGAGCTTGAACATGTATGTATGATTGACTCAAAAAGGGACAAAGAGTATTCAAACCTGAATACCAGCAGAGAATTGGAGAAGCATCTCATTGATAACCTCAGGTGGATGATGAACACCACGGTTGAAACTATCTGCTAGGATCCACTGATGATGTCCAGTAAATGCAGCTCGGCCAACTAACCTGTAATATTAATCCAGTTCATCCAAATCAATTACTTTATAATAAAAAAAGGAGAGAGAAAGAGATTACACATACCCTTCTCCTACCAAAATGATTCTATTGTTCAACATCATTCTGTTTGTAAGCAACTGAACTTTCTCATTCCCTTGTTCAGAAAGTGAGGTTTCATTGTAGCATTCCTCCCAAATCAACAAACTGCACACAAAAAAATTTAACACATCCAAACAGAAAAGGACAACATAGTTTAGTTACTACTATTACACAAGATAGAAGGACAAAACGATAAAGGACAAGAAACAAAGTCATGAACTTGAACTGTTGGACAAATCATAAACAAAATAAACCAAAGAAGAGGATATGGTTTTGTCACAAATCAAAAAGATTCTTTTAGACAACAACCAAGATTAAACCAAACACAAAACTCCAAAAAATAAACACAGGGATAAATAATTCCTAGAGATCTGAGTTTGACGAACCCTTGAATCAAAAATTAATTCAAGATCAATCTTAATTTTATTATATTTTTATTTTTTTGTAAATAAGAAATAGGAAGTTACCTTGAGTTTTGGCAGCCGATTTTCCAGAAAACAGCATAAGACCACTGATTGTTAACGCATATAGACTTCAACGCTTCTCTTAGCAAAACACCCATAGCTTCTCTCTCTTTCTCTATATCTCAGCTTCAACTAAAAGAACGATCTTCACTTACAACAACACTGCAATTTTCAAACTGCCCATGAAAAAAAAATCAAAACTTTAACCAAAAAAAACAACTTTATAGCGAATCTATAGAAACCCATTATTACATTCTTTAAAGGAGATTGAAACAAAGACTAACTTCCACGGCAAGATCCTCTTCCAGCTTGTTTTGTTCTAAGTCCTCCACTTTGCTTCCTTTCAGGATCTAAGCTACTAGCTAACATACCCAGACATGCCATTTTTGCAGAAATAAAGAAAATTAAAGAAAAGAAAATTAGATCTTTTTTCTTATTCTAACTTCACAATATACTCCAAGCTTCGAGCTTTAGGATTCCAGTAACTCCAGCCATTGATTCAGCTTCAATAAAATCAGAAGAAAATAAAAGTCTTTGAGTGAAAAGAAAACAAATAAAATCAATGGGAGCTTCTTTCTCTCTTTTTTTTTTCTTCTTCTGTGATAAGAGAAAAAGGGAAATGAAAATGGGAGCAAAAGGGGAACTGTCTTATTAAAAACCAAAGATGACGATGAATTCGAGAAAGGGTATAATGTTTCTGGCAGAAATTACAGGATTGTGCCACTGAGTGGGGTAGTCCAACTCTTTTGTCCGTTTCCCACAAATAATTTAGTTGTTTCTTTATGTTTTTGTAAGGTAATATCCTATAAAGTTTGTTTTTTAGAAAAACACAAAAGAGTTTTCCTTTTATAACGAAAATAGGTGTACCTCTCGGAGAATTAAAAGACGTTCCCAAAACGTTTAAAACATTTAATAACGGAAACAATAATGTTAGACTCTAGTTTGTACTTTCTAATTTGTATAATGCTTAGTTGGTTGGTTATTAACGACTAGAGACTAAAAAGTAAAAGAGGATTTGGAAGAGAATTTTCTTATATTGCTTCACAATACCGTACATAACGATTTTTCGTACACATATGAAGGTGTCTAATAATCATATAAATTCAAGGTTTTTAAAAATCAAATTTTCTTCTAATACAAATGACGTAAACTCATGTGTATTAGAGATTTCACAGAAAAAAATGCTTTTTTGAAAATATTAGTTTGATTGATAGAGAAAACTTAAAGAAATAAATTACAAAATACTGAAATATATAAAACAAAAGATAACTATCATATTATCCCATAATTAAAAATTAAATAATAAACAGTTAAGTTTTGGAATTGGATGATTTTATTGATTGAGAAGAGCTCTTGTTATATACAATAACAAAGGAGGTATTTACGGCTAGAATCGGTTATATGAATTTACGAGTCAGAAGTAAAATAAAAGAAAATTGGCTAGTTTTAGAAGAAAAACACAAAAAAATAATAAAAAGCTGATATAGACACAGGTGACTTTTGAACCCGGGATATTGAAGACAACTTGAACCAAAGACAATCGCTGGACTAAAGAGAACTTTTGATATTTTGTGGCCGAAATTAATTGATAAAATAAACGGTCAGAAGCAGGTGCTTTCCTTGCTTTGTCCAAGGACCGGCACTATTTACGGTATGAATATATACAGAAGTTATGCGAAAGGAGATGATGATTGAGCTCTTGCAATATATGCTCATGAATGTGAAGATACTTTCCTTATCTTAATATCCTCCCTCAAGACAAACGACCTTGTGCGAGTCTGATCTTAGAGCAGCGTTGTTGATGTTTAGCGCGGGAGAGAGGCTTCGTTAAAGCATTGGATATTGATCAACAGAGGTGACGTGAGTGACACGCATATGACCAGCTTAATTAGACATGACTGCGTACAAAGTGATAATCATGTGTTAGGAGCTTCATGCGTGAGTGAAACACTGGGTTTGCGGCAAGGTATGTGGCTCTTATATTGTCACAGTAGATGGTTGGAATAGTGGTGGTCTTGATGCCCAACTCGGTGAAAAGGGTAGGAGCCAACATAATTCAACAGCTGTGGAAGCAATGGACATATACTCAGCTTCAGTGGAGGAGCGAGCTACGGTAGGTTGTTTCTTGGAAGACCAGGTAGGATGCTTTCTGGAGTTGACAATGTATGCACATGTTGATGTGTAGACATCACGGTTTCCGGCCCAAACTGCGTCTGTAAAAGCGTGTAAAGCAGCAGTGTTTTCGCAGAGAGAAAAATTCCAGCGGTCATACTGCCAAACAAGTAATGAAGTACTCGTTTAACCCCATGCCAATGCTCATTAGTGGGCTTGTGCATAAATTGAGAGAACTTAGTGATGACAAATGAGATGTCTGGGCGAGTCAAAGACAAGTACTGAAGGATCTCCACAGTGGCGCGATATTGTGTTGGATAAGTAAGAGGCTTACCACAGTCTAGCGTGAGCGGTTTGTAAGGACACATTGGTGTGGACACAGAGTTGCAGTCCTCCACCTTGAGACGCTGGAGTAGATCTACAATATAACAACGTTGAGTAAATAAGAGACCATGAGAAGTTTTATGAGCTTCAATGCCTAAAAAATAAGAAAGGGAGCCAAGTTCTTTGAGAGAGAAGCGCGTAGATATAGCTCGTATGAAGTGTTCCATTTGCACCGTGTTGTTCCCGGCGAGAACAATGTCATTGACATATACTAACATATAGAGGAGAGTGCCATTTTGATTGTAAAAGAAGAGGCTTGCATCTGAAAGAGAATTGCTGAAACCCAAAGAGAGTAAGAAACGCTTGAGATCATTGTACCAAGCTCTTGATTCTTGTTTAAGACCATAGATAGCTTTGTTAAGCTTACACACAGCCTTCGGATTGTCTTGATTGATGAATCCTGGTGGCTGCATCATATAGATTGTTTCCTCTAGCTTGCCTTGCAAGAAAGCATGGTTTACATCAAATTGATGTATTGGGCATTGGTGTGAGAAAGCAACACTCAAGACTAGTCGAATGGTAGCTGGTTTAACAACAAGGTTGTATGTCTCTTGATAGTCAAGGCCTTGTTGTTGAGTGAAACCTTTGGCTACAAGACACGCCTTAAATTTGTCCACTGGGCTATCAGGTTTACGCTTGATCGTAAAAATCCATTTGTAGCCAACAACATTAGTTGCGTGAACCAATGTGTGTAAGTCCGAAGTGTGGTTTCGAACTCACACCCCGCTTTACTCCATATTGGTTCTTTTAATGCTTATGCTACAGATGTTGGGATTCTCTCTGTTGCAGGGATCATAACGGCTGAAAGGTTGATCTTATCCACTAGTTTACGTTTCCTTGTAGAGGTTATCGGAGGTTGTTGTTGTACAAGGTTAGGTACCGCCGGAGGTGGTTCATTTGATGGTGAAGTCGTTGCTGGTGGTGTCTTTTTTCTTACTTCTTTGAACCCAAAAGTAACAACACTAGACAAAAAAAACTCATGTAGTTTTTCAAACTGCTTTTCTTATCATCCAGGCTTTCTGCAGAATGTATGTGTGTCCAACCAACAAATTTGAAATTGAACAAGTTTGAAAACCACAGACCATAATCATTTGTTGTGAGCTCCTTTTCACAATCAGACATGATGAACTTCTTCAGTAAATCAACATCATACTTCTTCTGGTAAGCAAAGATTCCATATTCTTGCTTCTTCTTTATATAGAACTCCCATGTAGAATTCTTCTCCCTTGATTGCATCTCCTCTTTCATTGCAATCTGCCACTCAAAATATAGAGTTCCACAAACATACACTTTCTCATACTTCTTCGGGAACTTCAACCCATTCATGTCACCATAACAAAAATGCCACAAGTTTATCTATGCATCGTCTTTAACATGCGGAACCAAATCTCTCCCTTGAACAGTTAACTCGTCAAGAGGAAACACCATGTTACCTTTCATGTGAATAAATGCTAAAACTTGCCCAGTCGTTTTATCTATTATTGCACAAGCAGCCTCATCAACCTTCAGTGTCTTGTCATCTCCAAGACAAACTTCACTCTTATTTGACTCATCAATTTTCTTGAAACGCGACTTTTCCATGTGATTGGAACAACCACTATCCACATCAGATGCACTTGTGCAAACAGAATGCGTCATGAACAGCCTACTCTCTTCTTCAACATCTTGAGCAAAATTTGATTTCTGCTCATTTCTTTGTTTGGACCAACACTCAGCTTCCTTGTGCCCAAACTTCTTTCAATATCTACATTGAATATTTTTCTTGAACTGAATTTGATCCTTGTATCCACTATTGTGATAACTTTGATCTTCTTCATATGAATTTTGGTGTTGATTATGCTCATTGAATCCACATTTTCCTGTTCCATAACCATGGCCACGACCATGATAGCCACCTTTGCCTCTATCTTGCCTTCCATAGTACCCAAATCTTCCATCTTCTGAATAATCTCCATTCACTTGAAAAGCTTTATGTTCAGCTTTCTCATTGGCTTTGCTAAGCTGATCTTCATGAGCCATCAAAGAACTCATCAATTTCATCAAATGTGTATGTGCTCAGATCCTACGACTCAATGATTGTTGGAACCACATACTCAAACTGTGATGATAGACTTCCCAGCACCTTGCTCACAATGCTCTCGTAAAGTTAGTAACTTCACCAGGATCACTTTTTGTGCTCCCATATACTCCTTCAGAATCTCTCACGTTTCATGAGTTGTGTTTGCTGCAGAGATCCTTAAGAGTATATCATCATCCAATGCTGTTTAGATGAAAAACAGTGCCTTTGCATCTTTCTTTCTTTTCGCCCGTAGAGGTTGATCAGGTTCTTCTAGATTGACATCTTTAAAATCAAATTCGACCAGATCTCATAGTTCATGCGATCAAAATATAGTCTTCATCTTAAGATTTAATAGATGATACTTTTCACATTTTAAAATCGAGACAAGGGCATGCGTTGAACTGTTGCTCGCCCTCATTTCTTCTTTTTCTTCTTAAGAAGATTGAAACTTTAATTTTTACTTTGCTCTAATACCACAATTATTGAATATTTCAGTGAAAAGATGAGTTTTTGAGAATATTACGTTTGATTGATAGAAAAAATTTTAAAAAACAAATTACAAAATACCAAAATATATAAAACAAAAGATAACTACTTCATTATCCCATAATTTAAAACTAAATAATAAATTCCTAATAACTTGGAAACAGTCCACGTTACTAATCCATAAATCCCATTACTTACTAAAAATTAGATTCACTTTGAATCAATCAACAATGTGTTTATTTGATACAGTGATGTTTGGTGTTAGACCCAAATTAACCAAGTAACTCGACAAAACTTATTTCCTTAGCAATCTTGTAGTCCCATTACATTAATATAATCCATTTTTATGAACTCGTAATTACATTGTTGTTTTTTTTTGGGGGGGTTTGTACCCTAAAATTTACGGGATATAGTGGGTACAGTGAGAGAATCAAGGCGGATGTGTAGGACGATCTAAACGAGAAATGGAATATATAAGAAGAGACAGAGCAAGAAGTAAAAAAGATTCATCAACACACACACCTAAACGTTGCATCATCGAGCTCTCCACTAAAACCACATCGACCTCTCCACTAAAACCACAT